AGCTCCCGCTCGTGTTCCGCCTTCTCCAGCCGCTCCCAGGCCTGCCGAGACGACTCCCCGTCAGCCCCCCCGGCACCGCACCGCCACCGCCACCATCCCCGTCCCCGTCCCACCTTGTTGATGTCGGAGATGAGCTTCCCCTCCCGCGGCACGTAGACCTTCTGGTTGTTGGCCCGCATCCGGCTCTGGACAGTGAAGAGCAGCACCTCCAGGTTCCCCTTCTCCATGAACCTGGGGGAGAGGCGCCGCTGAGCCCCCCGGGACCCCCAGCCCTGCCGGGGCGCGGGGGGCCGGCGCGGGGGCTCACTTGGGGGGCTTCTCGACGGTGCGGTAGGTGTTGAAGGCCTGGAGCTGGTTCTGCACGCCGGGCAGCGCGTTGGCCAGCTGCCGGTCGTTGAGGGTGAGGATGGTCTGCTCGATCCAGCCCAGCAGCTCGCCCGCCAGCTCCTCGTACTTCCCCACCAGCTCCTCCGCCTCCCGCGCCGCGTCCAGCACCTGTGCCACCGTCCGTCTGTCCGGCTGCCGGCCCCCGCCCGGCTCATCCCGCCAGCCATCTGCCCGCCACCTGCCCGCGCTCCGTCCTGCCGGATCCCTGCCGGGCCACTGCCCGGCCGTCTGTCCAGCCCTCCGTCCGGCGTCCGCCTCCTCCCTCCTGCCCTCCCGCCGGCCGGCTGTCTGTCCGTCCATTTGGGCACCCACTCGGCTGTCTGTCCGTCTCTTCTCTCCCTCCCTCTAGCCAGCCGTCCATCTGTCCATCCATTTGGGCTCTCGTGTACCTATCCGTCCATCTCCTCTCTCCATCTGTCTGTCTGTCCATCCCCTCCACCTAGCTGTCCATCTCCCCCCTTTCCCCGTCTGTCTGTCCATCCGTTTGGGCACCCATTTGGCTGTCTGTCCGTCTCCTCTCTCTCTCTCTTCCTATCCATCTGTCTGTCCGTCCATCCCTTTGTCCTCCCCTCCACCTAGCTGTCCATCTCCCCCCTCTCCATCCGTCTGTCCATCCCTTTAGGCCCTCATTCACCTTCTTCCTCCATTCATCTGCCCCCCGTTCACCTCTCTGCCCATCTCTCCCTCCCTCCAGCCCTCCGTCTGTCCGTCCGTCTGTCCGTCCGCCCCCTCCGCCCCGTCACCTTCCCGATGCGCTTCCCCTCCACCGCCAGCGCCTTCATCTTGGAGAAGTAGTGGTAGAAAGTGGCCACGTAGGTGATGATGGACTTCTCGTCCGGCTGGTCCACGTTGACGTCTGCGGGGAGCGGAGCGGCAGGGGTGAGCGCAGCCGGCCCCCGCGGCCCCCCG